TTTTTTTAAACGGGGAAAACGCTTAAAACGCTGCAAAAGCTAACAAGGAGACCTTTTTTCAAAGCCCACCGAGTTTCAAAATGTGATCATGTTTATTTTGAGCAGAATTTTTCTCTGACCAAAACCACTTCTTCAGAATCTGCGAAACTACCAAAAGGAAGAAAGTTGTGACGTTTTTCAGGGCAAAAACGGCCAGCGAGGCCGTTTTGGAAATTTTTCACACCTTAAAGGTACACTAAAATCTCGTGCAAAAAGTCAGCTCGCGGTCGGAAATCCCGGCCCTCTGCCGTGCAACGCCCGGATCCTTCTTATCCCCCTTCCCTCTCCCCTCTCCCGTCTGTCCCATGGCCTAGTGGTCTAAAGCGCTCGCCCTAGGCGAGTGGCGCGGGTTCGGTTTTGCTCCGCCGCGAGCACCTACCGTCCCCCGGTTTGCTATTCCGCGGACGGTTACCGGCCGGTAACCAAACCAACGAGGCTTTAGTGTACCTTTAAAGCCTCGTAACTTTTCAAAAATGGTCGCTTCGAAAGTATTGACAACAAAGTTTTGATCAGCAAAAAGTTCCGCACAAGCTAGACTTGGTCCCACGCCGAAACTCCGTGGACACTTGAAAACGTCTCTTGTAAGTTAACATAAGCACAGGCTTAGCTTGATGCAAACGAAGCCTGAGCTTGGCTTGAGCCAAGCCAAGTTTAGCTTGAAGCTATCCCTAAATGACCCCATTTTGACCTCGTTAGGCTATTGAAAGCTTAAGCTAAGGTCCGCTTGGGCTGAAGTTGAAGCCCAAGCCTAAGCTCACAAGGGGCTAGGCCTAAGCTAAAAAACCAGGTAGAGCCTGGTCATCTCTTACCATCAATTCTGGACTGCCCCCCCCCCCCCAATTGCATACCCACCTACTTTTGAGACAGCTTCTTTGTTTTAGGCTAAGTCGGGTCTCGGTCCGTGGCATCAGCCAAGCAGACGGCTCCAAGAAGACCGTCATCCGCGTCGACGGCCGGCTGTACAACCATGAGGATACGGCTTGGTGGATCAACAACTCGACGGATGTGTTCGTGGTCGTTTTTGACCCGACCATCACCTACTTCCCCGACGGCATCCACATGCCGATCTGCGAGAACTGGAACTTGCTGCCCATTGTAGTGGGTTGTTGGTTGTTGTTAGCCAGGCTAATTTTTGTTAGCAACTCAGCGCGGCGCTTATTAGAAAAGAAAGAGAAAATTATAAATAGCCGATGCGGTTCTTCGTCTTTTTTAACTATTTCTAAGCATAAAAGTCTTCTAAATTTCATCAAAAATTTAATTTTAGGTCGAAAAATTGCTTTTAGTGACCCAAAATGACCAAATTTTTAGCTTTTCCCTTTATCTAATTTTTTCGAAGTTTTTTTACTTAAAACCAGGGTTGAAAAGCCGCTTCGCGACTTTTCAACCCTGGCCTCTCTGCGGGGCCCTTTGATACACGGGGACTGCATATTATAATTTGCATTAATATTGCGAATTACGTTAGGGGAAAGGCACCACAGGAATTACTTGAGCAACCGGCTCGGAACCCCGCAAAGCCCAGAATGAGCCGAATTAATAGCCGTATGCAAATTAGTCTATTTCCATAAGGTTTTAAATCGCTAAAATACGATATAAAACGTCATTTTAGTAAAAATCTGAGATGCCCGCAGTAATCTACGCCCTCGATTACCCCTAACCACTTTATTTCTGACCCATAAGATCCTCTGCCCTTCAAGTTATGGCTGGAACCCGGGTTTTTATGCAAAGTGTCCACACACACACACACACACACCACACACACACACACACACACACACACACACACACACACACACACACACACACACACACACACACACACACACACACACACACACACACACACACACACACACACACACACACACACACACACACACACACACACACACACACACACACACACACACACACACACACACACACACACACACACACACACACACACACACACACACACACACACACACACACACACACACACACACACACACACACACACACACACACACACACACACACACACACACACACACACACACACACACACACACACACACACACACACACACACACACACACACACACACACACACACACACACACACACACACACACACACACACACACACACACACACACACACACACACACACACACACACACACACACACACACACACACACACACACACACACACACACACACACACACACACACACACACACACACACACATACACACACACACACACACACACACACACACACACACACACACACACACACACACACACACACACACACACACACACACACACACACACACACACACACACACACACACACACACACACACACACAGAAACTATTTTTTTATATATAGTAGGATAGACGAAAAATTTGAAAAGATCTTCATATATGTATATCATTTCACCGACCGAACCCCCTCCCAACCCCCCTAAACCCCCTCCCAACCCCCTAAGGACCCCCTAAACCCCCGAAACCCCCTCCGAACCCCCTCCGAACCCCCACCGAACCCCCCTCCGAACCCCCTAAAACCCCCCTACCAACCCCCCTAGTTAGGGGGGTTTAGGGGGTTCGGGAGGTCTACTGGACCCGTTTAAGACATCTGAAAATTTGACTTTACATAGGGCTTGCCGAATGCCGATCACTAAAAAATGAAAAGCGCACCCTCCTTCCCTTTTTATAGGCTACGGCCACTTCCGGTCAATGCTAATTGCCTCCTAACAAAGAGGTTTTTCGATATATTTACAAAAACTTAATTTTAATAGCGAAAACATCCGATTTTCCTAAATTTTATATGTGTGCACTCATCACGGGACCCTTACGCACCTAATGACGTATCATACGTACCTTAAAAACCTTCCCCTGAGGCTGTAGGTCCGGTACATACTTACGGAAGTTGCATGCAAATATACACACACACACAGACACTATTTTTTTATATATAGTAGGATAGTAGGATTAGGGTTGAAATGAAACAATTAAACCTTGCGGTACTTTCTTTACGTGCCAAATAACATCTAACTCGTAAGCTGCGGTTTGCAGACGGACGATCCGATCTGGCCGGGCTTGATGGATATGATGACGGTGAGATGCCGCCGCGATCTCCATCTCTGTGGGCCGCCCACCGACCGGGCGAAATCGTGCTGGGTCGACCTGCTCCAGAACGCCGGGGCGATCGATCGGCGGCTGCGGGGATGGATTTCAGCTACGGTATCCTACCATCTATAAAAAAAATCTTGTTTTTGGGTACTTGCATGCAATTTGCGTAAGTACATACGGAGCGCGTCAGAATGATAGTTGCACCCTGTTTTTGAGCAACCTGGGGATCTAGCAGAAGTTACGGACCAAACCAAGAACTTAGTTGGAAAGAAAATAACTCAAAACCTTGAAAGTCATCCTCCATCTAGTTAGCAAGTACTGTGCATTTTAACGAAATTTATTTTCGAAAAAATTCCAACCGGATCCCACATCATAAGCTCAGGTTTATCGCGTTGTTTTTGACAATAACGAGATATTGGGATTAGTTCACATTTTAATATAAGTGGGATTTAAGTGTACATGAATTTGCCATACCTGGTATTTCTGTTTCAAGGATTTTTTTGCAAAAGTCCATTTCACACTGCACGCGGACATACCTGTTCAGCAAAAATGTATGAAAAATGACTTAAAAAAGTCAAAATTTTTAAAAAGGTTGTTTATATTAGGTTGGAACATAAGTCCGTACATTCGACTTTTTCTAAATAACTACACCAGCAAGTCGGTCGGTGTTGATCATGATCATGGGGCCAGGTTCACTCTCCAGCTCTACTACGTTCCCTCAAAAGATAGAATTTTTCCAGCTTCGAACATTTTTTATAGCTAGTTTTCCTTGAGGCACCTGTGGCGAGATCAGAGAACCTTCGCACATTCTAGCCAGATAAAAATTTTCGATGCCATAATCCTCCTAGCGTAATTTGTCAAATTTAATGCCATTATAAGCTCTTTTTAGCCATGGTGCCCAATTAGCCTAACGCCTTCGTCCGGGGCAGTTATTCTCTTTAGTTTGATTCCAATTTGAATTCTCGATCGGCGTGCCCAAAACGCTTGCCTGAATTTATGGAGAGCAACCAGAATCAAACTGTTCCACGGCAGTAGGTATTATTCTCGGAACCTAAAAAACCGGGAACTCGAGTTGCTCACCCTCTTGGCGTCATAATTAAAGATTTTATGGGAGTTAGGGGTTTTTACTTGGGCCGCAGCAGGACAATACTTGTGCCTTCAACGCAGTGAAAAACTAGAATAAACGCATGGAAGTTCCCTTAAAGATTTTACGCTCGAAAAATTGCACGAACTTATGTTCCAACCTAATAACTTTATAGCAATCACAAACTAGAACACTATAAAATACATAATATATCAGCAATAGGTGTTTTTAGAGTCACGGCTAACAGTCCAAAGCCGCGGGTTTGCAAAAAACATCATTACAGGTTCAACTCGGCCCAGAGACCGCTGAAGCTCTTCAGTGGCTGCTCCCGTTCAATGGCTCGGAGCTGCGCATCCGCTGGAGGGGACCGGTGACGGATCTGCAGCCCATTTGGAATTTCGTCGAGCACTCCCTCCCGATGACGCTGACGCACGACCAACGAATTCAGGTACGAGCACGAGACGATTTGCTATCATAAAATGAAATCAAGCATAAATAAAACATAAATCAAAATTGCCTAAAAAATGTCCGGGAAAACTAGCTTACGCAAATTTCGACATTATGAATTTCGAAATGCTGAAATTTCGAAATTGTGCAATTTCAACGTAATAAAATTCTGCCATTTGGAAAAAAGCCCAAAAGAGATCGATGTATTCATCGGTTTTTCGGTTGGGGTAGTAAACAACAGAGCCTTGACTTTCACCATCGATTGCATCTTTTAGGTCATTTTCTCGCCACACCTTCCCGTCGAGATGCTTCGCCCCGACATCTTCCAGGGGTTCCGTATGGTTCAGGAAATGGAGCGAGATCAAATTCTCTACACGCTGACGGATGGGAGTCAGCCGTTTGATCTGCATCTTGGCTGCTCTAACCTGATGGTCACGGGACGGATCTGGTGGGTTTAGGCTTGGGCCGAACTTCAGTAAAAGTTAGGTTTAAAAAAAGTTTTTTCATTTCTCATTTTCCAGATACGATGAAGCGTTCGGCCTCTACATGCTCCTTCGATGCGTGCGCCCCCACCTCTTCTCTGCGCCTCCTTCTCTCTGCACGGCCATAAATCCACCGATTAATCGTCTCTCATTTAATTTGGTGTGCTGAACAGCAATTTCCGATTTATATTTATGTGTTGCGGGTTTTGAAAAGGAATAAAGGGTTTTATTACTTTGTGGAGCAGCTGGAATCCGCAATAAAAAAAGAGAGATAGAGAGAGAGAGAGAGAGAGAAAGAGAGAGAGAAAGCGAGAGAGAGAGAGAGAGAGAGAGAGAGAGAGAGAGAAAGAGACAGAGAGAGAGATACCTTAGCAGCCGTGGCCGTAACCTTCTATTTAATATTGATTTTTGATAAAAAACTACGTTTCATGACTTTGTACACCCTACAGTGCGCCATCGCCTCTTCACACGGCTGTAATGGCTAAGGCATACCATAATTATGGCGCGAACCAATATTAATCGGTTAGAAGGAGCGACGGGTCAGATGCCCCACATCAAGGGCTTCATCATGCACCCATGCCGTTTTTTAAACTCGAAGCGTCTGGAAAAGCTACGCTAATCTTAAGCCTAGGCTTGGCTTCATGCAAACGAAGCGGGAGCTTGGCTCGAGCCAAGCTAAGCTTAGCTCTAGACTAACCCCTAAATGACGTCATTTTGACTCGTAAAGCGCTTTGAAGCCCAAGATAAGCCTAGCTTCGGCTCAAGCTTAAGTCTAAGCCTAAGCTAAGCATAGTTAAAGGGATGCCCAGCCTTTTCGGGGCTCAAAAAGTAAAAACCATGCCGCGGGCGGGGGTCGGACCCGGGCCCACGTTTTGTACAGGGTGTCCCAAAAAAAAAGGTCCAAGTTTGTCCCCGAATAACTCGAGAAGGAAACATACTTCACCGTGGGTTACCATGCCAGAATGCTTAAATATGTCAGGAATAGGGAAATAACACAACTTGTTTTTTTCGATTTTTGGCGACGTACCCATACAAATGACACCCGAAAACTGTGCGTTCCGGCAAAACTTCGTTTGCATTTTTTAGGATTGCTGGTGGTCGAACACTTCCAATTTTTACAGTGTAGGTACCTAAGGACTGCCCCTACGCACATCCCGGAATTTTAGAATTTTCGAAGGTCTGGTTGGCAAGTTATAGTGTGCTCAAATTTAATATGGAGAAATTTCGTAAATTTCGAATATTACAAAAACCTATGGTGGAAACCTCAAAATAAGCTGTATTAGCATGTCTCTGAGCTTGATACAATCCCGCAAAAATATCAAAAAAAATTTTCAAATCCGCGGATTTTTGAGTTTTTCGACGACCCCCTGGTCATGGATTCTTTCGAGGTCACGAAACTGAACTTTGGAAAAATATTTCTAAAATTGCAGATAGAATTTCAGTGTTTGCTTTGCTTGGCTGTGTAGGGCTAGGGTCCATCTATCATGTACACAGTTTCTAGCTACCGTATCCCTTCGGAAGGATGCTTTTTAGCGCCTCCAAAACGGTTGGTTCGTGCGATTTCGCAGATCTTTGTGCCAGTCTATAAAATTCAACTGCGCGGCTAGAATTATTGTCATAATTTTATTTAATACTGCTTAATGGGCGCATTCTAAAATTATATTTACAAATTTGTTGGGCCATCGGATCTTTCAAAAGAAATTCATGAAGTGCCCAAATATATCCGAATTCGAGGCGACGTAAAAACATTCTCGAAGCCATAGTAGCCTCGACTTTTTTTGGCATAAACTCAGCTTGGGTGGTCAACTAGAACCCATGCAAATACAAAACCTTTTCATGGCAAACGAATTTAGAAGAGCACCCCAAAGTCGGCTTTTCAAAAACGTTAATTTCGGGTATTAAATCAAAATTAACCATTAACTTCAGCCAGATCATTTCAGAATTCTGCTCTTATACACAATTCGATGCGTGCTTTAATTATATCCACGAAAGTCGGGTGACTTTTTCATTTTCAAAAATTCGATTTTCGGCCCGGGGCCTCGGGTCCAAAATCGGGCCCCGAGGAGGGTTTTCCACTTTCCCTCAGTTCTTGTTTAAAGGGCTAGTTCAGCCAATAAAACAAAAGAATTTCCGCGGCCAGGAGTCGAACCCTCTATGCATTTTTGTGTCTGCGCCTCTCTCATTTCCCCGATATTTAATAGCTGTCGTAATGGGGGACTGTTCGGGCGAAATATGCCAACGCCCATAGTTGCCCAAGGTACCAGCCCAAGCTCTAAAAGTTGAACTAGCCCTTTAATGTATGTATGTAGGTTTCATAGCTGCTTCTCGCCTGTAATCATCACCTTTCTAGTGCTTCACACGCTGCCCCCCGGAACTCTTCAACGTCATCATCCAGCCGTTGGATGCGGAGACCGTCTTCAACATTGCTGGCATCGACCCCGAACTGGAGTTGCGGGTCGAACAAGCCCCGAAAAGCTGGAACACTGTCGACTCGATTTTGGATGGGCACGTCATCGACTATCAATTCGTCCCCCATCGCTTCGCGCTGTCGATGTTGTACAATTCGCGGGTGAAGCACCGAAACCATACCTACATGGACAAGATGCCGACTTGCCGCCGACTTCAGGACGTGCCCCTCGAGTTGCTGCGCATCATCGCCGATGATCTCTGTGACGGGGAGTACTTGGATGTCGTGAAGGCGTTGCCCCGCTTCATCCGCCCTGGGCTCCTCCTCGACAATGAAGATGGGTCAGTTAGTATGGAAATCAATGGATGGCTTTGTTTGTTAGCGGGTGAAAAAGGCGGTTTGGGGGGCAGGGGGAAATTACGAGTAATGGTTCGTAAACTTTACCAAAATCTCCACCGAACCAAACGCTAACAAGCAGACATTTTTTAGTGACGACGGACTTAAAAATGTGACCAAGCCACTTTTCAGCAGAATTTTTCGCTGAGGCTTTTGAAGGTGCAACGACCAACGGGGGCCGTTTTGGGCCTTTGTTTACACTTTCAAACTTCGTAATTTTCCAAGCATGGTCGTTTCGAAAATTCTGAGAACAAAGTTTTGATCAGCAAGAAATTCCGCATTATTTAAGCTTGGTACGATAAGTTCAATTTGGGCTTAAGTTGGAGTCCAAGCCTAAACTCACAAGGGGCAGGCCTAACAAGGGCTGTGTTTTTGTCCCTCTTTAAAAAGTTATGTGGGTTTTTAAATCAATTTTTTTACCAAAATGGCCATCTTTGAAGCCAAATGTTTTGGCCTTCCGAGTCAATTCTGGAAAAAGGAACTTGCCATCGTATTCAAAAACCAGTGGAAAAAGCCCGCTTCGCGGCCATTTTCCACTGGACCCCCGTCTAAGAACCACGAATTCTCACCCTTTCCTTTCTTCAAGCCTGCGGCGCAAGTTCCGGAGTCCCCGGAGCCATTCCTCGGCCTGAGGCGCCGGAGCAGGGGCTACGTTCGAAACCTTGAGCCTGCGGCGCTAGCTACTGACTTTGCTCTCCATATTGGGCCTGCGGCGCAAGAACCGGAGTAAAGGAACCATTCTTTGGCCTGCGGCGCCAGAGCCAGCGTTGCGCTAGAATTTGTAAGCCTGCGGCGCTAGTTACTGGTTTTTCTCCAGGCTTTGGCCTGCGGCGCAAGAGCCCGGGTCCAGGACCCATCCTTGGCCTGCGGCGCTAGAGCGAGGGCCAGGCCTATCCCCCGCACACCGAGAGCCTAGAAATATGCTTTGTTGCTGAACTACCAAAAAGCAAAAAGTTAGATCCGGGCAGGATCCGAACTCACTACTACGCGCCTGGCAGATAGACGCAAATGCACTGCACCACCGTGACGATGGGAACAGGCAGCGGGAAAGGCCTCTTCTCCCCTGGGGGAGGGGGGGAGGCAAAGAGAATGGCGACCCATGATCCCAGAGGGAGGCCTACTGGTCACTTTACAAAATTCGGTTTTCGAGTCTGAATCAGCTGAAAATTTGTAAAGATAATAAGATGCGCATGATCCCCACCATCGAATACATAAGTTTTCCAAATTCCAGCCCAAAATTCCATCTGGGCTTCGAGTTATGCCCCGGACACCACGGCTCTTGGCCCATTTTGTTAAGGACTTTTTGGAAAAATGCTCATAAAAATTTTAGTTTACAAAATCTGCCAAAACGCAGAATTATATCACAGGAGAATGTAATTTTCAATCTGCCCTCCAAAAATTAGCGCCTAATTCCATTTGGCTCGGGAGATATCCTCTGAACAAACTTTTTTTCGGCCAAGCTGTTAAGGATTTTTCACTATTTTGCTTCTAAAACCATTAAATGAAGGAATTTCGCAAAACAAAAAAATGCGTCACTGACAAATGTGTTTCTCCACCTCCATGCCAAAAATCAGCCCAAAATTCGGCCTGGCGGCCGAGAAATCGGCTGTACAGAAAACAAACATACTTTTCTCGCTTATAGGATAGGATTTTTCTCTGTCGAATGAACTACTCAACCCAAAATTTTGGAACTTCGAAAATTTCGAAAAATTTGACGATACTTGGTATGGCCCCCTTTAGCAGGTAAGTTATTTAAACCCATTTTAAAATCGAAAAAGTAAAAAGTTCGATTTTGAGAAAATAGGTTCCAAACCTTCCAAAAATTTAACAACTTTTTTAAAGAGGGAAGTTCCGCCAAACCTAATATTTAGGCCTCGCATTTATTTTCAAATTCTCTATCGATTGATATATGTCAACTGGGCCAAAAACGCTTCCTCTGTAAGCTAAAAACCAGGCAGCGCCTATTAACCGGACTGCCCTCCCTCAAATGCATTACCACCGAGTGTGGAGACGCTTCCTTGTTTTAGGCTATCTCGGATCACGGTTCGTGGCGTCCGACAGCCCGACGGTTCGAAAAAGACGGTTATCCGCGTCGACGGGCGGCTGCTCGAGCATGAGGAAACGGCGTGGTGGATAAATAATGCGACGGATGTGTACGGGGTCGTTTTTGACCCGACCATCACCTACTTCCCCAACGACATCCACATGCCGATCTGCGAGAAGTGGAAACTGCTTCCGATTGTGGTGGGTTGTTGATTGTTGTTGGCCAAGCCAATTTTCATTAGGCACCCAGTGCGGCGCTCCTTGAACAGGAATTCGGCTCTTTAGGATTCGAGGGCGTTTTTCGGGCCGAGCCTAAATTTTTTTTATAAAGGACGGAAGCGTTTCGACATGGTTTTTAGCTATTCCTAAACAAAAAAACTTACGCACGAAAACTTGGTGGGGTTGGGGGCGTGGATTAGCAGTCCATCCCGTAGTTTTTTTTTGACTAAATGTAAGCCAAATAACCGGGAGTGTTTTGGAGGTGATCTTGGAATTTTGGGATGTAACCTCGCTCGTTCGACAAAGGTTGAAAGTTTGAACAAATCGCATCTTTCAAAGGCTGAGCGACACCGTATTCGCTCGCTGGCTCTGAAAGGGCCAATTTTTTGGCCCTGCTGAACAAAATGCGAACGTTGAGAAACTTATTCTCGAAGAACATTGTCGTTCGCCGTTTTTGAAAGCTGGTACTTACTCAGGATTTGAAGCTTTATCTAATGAGCGATGTCACATATCAAAATTCCGAGCGTATCTAAAACTGCGCCCTGTAAGCTGCGGTTTGCAGACGGACGATCCGATCTGGGCGGGCCTCAGGGATATGATGACGGTGAGATGCAGCCGCACGCTCAAACTCTGCGGACCGCCCACCGACCAGGCGAAACCGTGCTGGATCGACCTGCTCCAGAACGCCGGGGCCATTGATCGGCGGTTGCGTGGATGGGCTACAGCTAAGGTAATCCTGCCTTATATAAATTTGGCGTGTCTGTAGGTGTGTGTGGATGTCAGTTCCGAGGCCCGATTTGAGGGCCTCCCTTGCATAAAATGCCCTAATTCTCCGTCATTCGGGGGAATCGACCCTCCTCTTTCCGATGACGTTCTCAGAATTTAGAATTTTTAGATGCTCCGCTCGTGTTTTTAGAATTTTGAGCAAATACCAATTTAGAAAGTTAAAGCCGGTAGTACTTGCGCTTTCCAGGGAAGAATTCATGGGGGAACCAACTTTTTACCTGTCGGCCCTGGTGGGGATAGTAATCAAATATAAAGGGTTTTTACATTGTTTTTAGCAAAATTTAAGCTTATTTGAATCGGAAAAACTTTTTAAAAAGTTAGAAAAACGCTTGAAAAAGTCGAGAATTTGTTCTTTTTTGGGCCGAAAAAATTGATTTTTCGACCTAAAATTAAATTTTTTAATTAAGTTTTGTAAAATTTTTATGCTTAGGAATACCTATAAACAATTTAGAAACACATCCACCATTTATATAAAAATTCTCAGCTTGGCCAAAAAGTTTGGTTCCCCCGCGAATTATTCCCCCGGAATACGCAAGAACGCAAAAATATATGAAAAATGACTCAAAAAGGTTAATATTTTTAAAGAGGTCCCTCAAATTGCAGTGTCACAAATTATAAAAAGTAGATGCATCATTTACAGGTTCAACTCGGCCCGGAGACCGCTGAAGCTCTTCAGTGGCTGCTCCCGTTCAATGGCTCGGAGCTGCGCATCCACTGGACAGGCCCGGCGACAGATCTCGGGCCGATTCGGAATTTCGTCGAGTACTCCCTCCCGATGAAGCTGACACAGGACCAACGAATTCAGGTACGAGCACAAGCGGACTCGCTAACATAATGTCGAATTTCGGAATGTCGGCATGTTTTGCATCCGATTCGGGAAATTCTTTTTCTGGTTTGTCGCGAAAACTAGCTTTTGTGAATTTCGGCATTCTGTATGTCGACATTATGGTTTTCGACATTTTGACAGGGCTCACCTTTGAAAGAAACCCGCACGAGAGCGATACATTCAAAGGTTTATCGGCTGGGGGGTAGTAAAAAACAGAGCCTTGCCTTTCACTATTGATTTTTAGATCAATTTCTCGCCGAACCTGCCCGTCGAGATGCTTCGCCCCGACATCTTCAATGGGTTCCGGATGGTACATGAAATGGAGGAAGATGTGATTTTCTACACGCTGACGGATGGGACTCAACCTTTTGATCTGCATCTGTGTCGCTATTACCTGTTTGTGGCGGGACGAATCTGGTGGGTTTAGGCTTGGGGCGGGCTTCAGATAAAACGTCAAGTTTAGAAAAAGTTTTCTCATTTTTCGTTTTCCAGATACGACGACGCATTTTGCCTCTACATGCACCTTCGGCGCGCATTCCTCTACCTCTACGCCGCCAAGAATCAAACAAACCATAGCGTCTCTCATTTAATTTGGTGTGCTTAACAGCAATTTTTGGTGTATATTTACCTTCTTGCGGGTTTTACAATGCAATAAATAGCTTTATTATTTTGTGGAGCAGCAGGCAACCGCAAGAAAAAAGAGGCTAAGAGAGAGAAAGAGAGAGAGAGAGAGCGAGAGAGATAGAGAGAGAGAGAGAGCGAGAGTGACAGAGAGTGAGAGAGGGGGGATTCGATCAGGTATCAAGTATGGCGATTTTGGACCTGTATTTTTGACCACTCATGCATTCAATGGCGAGGATCACGCGCATCTTATTATTTTCACAAAATTCGACCAGCTTCCACCTCAAAAGTTGGTTTTTGTAAAGTGGCCTGAAGGCCTGCCTGGGGGGAGGTGCTGGGGCCCATTCCTTTTAGCACAGCCCGGTTCGGTCCCCAGGATATGAAGGGGCCTTTACCGCTGCCCCTTCCAACCTCTCCCTGTGGTGTAGTGGATCAAGGCCGGGGCTACGGATCCGCGAGAAATTTACCTTTTGCTTTTTGGTCGTTCAGCAACAAAACATATTTATAGGCTTCGTGTGCGCGATTTAGGCCTGGCCTTCGCTCTGGCGCCGCAGGCCCAAGAAAAGGTTCTTGGCCCAGGATTTCGCGCCGCAGGCCAAGGATGGGTCCATCACCGAAGCTCTAGCGCCGCAGGCCAAAGAATGGTCTGACTCAGGTTCTTGCCCCGCAGGCTAAACAGAAGCTATTGAAATTCATGGTTCCTGGACGGGGCCCAGTGGGCCCCGCGATGCGGTCTTTTTCCACTTGTAATTATCAGGTTGGAAAGAAAGTAATTTCACAAAATCTTTAAACCGCTGTAAAAACCCGCAGGAAGGCCCGTTTTAAAAGTTTGATGTATGGTTTGGTAGATCTTCGGATGCTCTATCACGAGACGACCCTTATAGCACCCGAAAACTGATGTACGCGAAAATACAGATCTCAGAAGTTTCTCGGAAAATTAGGTGAAAGCTTCTAAGCGAGATATCTCTGCATACAGGCATTTGCATACGATACCTTTAACACCAATCGATAGCCCTCAAGGAGTAGATATCATAGATGTTGAGATCATCAAAATCGGACACTGGATGGCCGAGACATAAGCCTTCCAAAATCAATGCATTTTCTGGATTTTGGTTCGGGAGCTGAAGCAAACGCAGCAGTTTTTGGCTCGCGCCGGCCAAAATGTATGGGATTTCGTGAAAAGTTCTAAAAGGTGGACCAAAATTCTAGGGGCCATTTCTTTCTTTCCAACCTGATACATAGGCCAGATTATTCCGTTGGAAGGTGCGACGCGTTAAATGCTTCTAACAATCGCTATTTTACAATCATGAATTTCGAGGGGAAACGAGAGTCCTCGCTCGCTGTATCGCTATGGGTAATTAAACAACAAAAGCTGATTCGTGCTTTTGTTTATAAAATCATATTTCAAGATCGCGGCTACGGTAGGTTGTACAGAGTATTACAGCGTTCTTCCCCATCAAAAACCATCCGAAAATCATGAATTCCGATGGGGAACGAGGGTCTTCGCCGGCTGTATCGCTATGGGTAATTAAACAACAAAAGCTGATTCGTGCTTTTGTTTATAAAATCATATTTCAAGATCGCGGCTACGGTAGGTTGTACAGAGTATTACAGCGTTCTTCCCCATCAAAAACCATCCGAAAATCATGAATTCCGATGGGGAACGAGGGTCGTCGCCGGCTGTACCGCTATCGGTAATTAAACAACAAAAGCTAATTCGTGCTTTTGTTTATAAAATGATATTTCAAAATGGCGGCTACGGTAGGTTGTACAGAGTATTACAGCGTTCTTCCCCATCAAAAACGATCCGGAAATCATGAATTCCGATGGGGAACGAGAGTCTTCGTTCGCTGTATCGCTATCGGTAATTAAACAACAAAGCTAATTCGTGCTTTTGTTTATAAAATGATATTTCAAAATGGCGGCTACGGTAGGTCGTACAGAGTATTACAGCGTTCTTCCCCATCAAAAATCATCCGAAAATCATGAATTCCGATGGGGAACGAGAGTCTTCGTTCGCTGTATCGCTATCGGTAATTAAACAACAAAAGCTGATTCGTGCTTTTGTTTATAAAATCATATTTCAAGATCGCGGCTACGGTAGGTTGTACAGAGTATTACAAGCGTTCTTCCCCATCAAAATCATCCGAAAATCATGAATTCCGATGGGGAACGAGAGCCTTCGTTGTCTGTATCGCTATCGGTAATTAAACAATAAAAGCTGATTCGTGCTTTTGTTTATAAAATCATATTTCAAGATCGCGGCTACGGTAGGTTGTACAGAGTATTACAGCGTTCTTCCCCATCAAAAATCATCCGAAAATCATGAATTCCGATGGGGAACGAGAGCCTTCGTTGTCTGTATCGCTATCGGTAATTAAACAATAAAAGCTAATTCGTACTTTTGTTTATAAAATGATATTTCAAAATGGCGGCTACGGTAGGTTGTACAGAGTATTACAGCGTTCTTCCCATCAAAAAATCATCCGAAAATCATGAATTCCGATGGGGAACGAGAGTCTTCGTTCGCTGTATCGCTATCGGTAATTAAACAACAAAAGCTAATTCGTGCTTTTGTTTATAAAATCATATTTCAAGATCGCGGCTACGGTAGGTTGTACAGAGTATTACAGCGTTCTTCCCCATCAAAAACCATCCGAAAATCATGAATTCCGATGGGGAACGAGGGTCGTCGCCGGCTGTACCGCTATCGGTAATTAAACAACAAAAGCTAATTCGTGCTTTTGTTTATAAAATGATATTTCAAAATGGCGGCTACGGTAGGTTGTACAGAGTATTACAGCGTTCTTCCCCATCAAAAACGATCCGGAAATCATGAATTCCGATGGGGAACGAGAGCCTTCGTTGTCTGTATCGCTATCGGTAATTAAACAATAAAAGCTAATTCGTACTTTTGTTTATAAAATGATATTTCAAAATGGCGGCTACGGTAGGTTGTACAGAGTATTACAGCGTTCTTCCCCATCAAAAACCATCCGAAAATCATGAATTCCGATGGGGGAACGAGAGTCTTCGCTCGCTGTATCGCTATCGGTAATTAAACAACAAAAGCTGATTCGTGCTTTTGTTTATAAAATCATATTTCAAGATCGCGGCTACGGTAGGTTGTACAGAGTATTACAGCGTTCTTCCCCATCAAAAACCATCCGAAAATCATGAATTCCGATGGGGAACGAGGGTCGTCGCCGGCTGTACCGCTATCGGTAATTAAACAACAAAAGCTAATTCGTGCTTTTGTTTATAAAATGATATTTCAAAATGGCGGCTACGGTAGGTTGTACAGAGTATTACAGCGTTCTTCCCCATCAAAACGATCCGGAAATCATGAATTCCGATGGGGAACGAGAGTCTTCGTTCGCTGTATCGCTATCGGTAATTAAACAACAAAAGCTAATTCGTGCTTTTGTTTATAAAATCATATTTCAAGATCGCGGCTACGGTAGGTTGTACAGAGTATTACAGCGTTCTTCCCCATCAAAAACCATCCGAAAATCATGAATTCCGATGGGGAACGAGAGTCTTCGTTCGCTGTATCGCTATCGGTAATTAAACAACAAAAGCTAATTCGTGCTTTGTTTATAAAATCATATTTCAAGATCGCGGCTACGGTAGGTTGTACAGAGTATTACAGCGTTCTTCCCCATCAAAAACCATCCGAAAATCATGAATTCCGATGGGGAACGAGGGTCGTCGCCGGCTGTACCGCTATCGGTAATTAAACAACAAAAGCTAATTCGTGCTTTGTTTATAAAATGATATTTCAAAATGGCGGCTACGGTAGGTCGTACAGAGTATTACAGCGTTCTTCCCCATCAAAAATCATCCGAAAATCATGAATTCCGATGGGGAACGAGAGTCTTCGTTCGCTGTATCGCTATCGGTAATTAAACAACAAAAGCTGATTCGTGCTTTTGTTTATAAAATCATATTTCAAGATCGCGGCTACGGTAGGTTGTACAGAGTATTACAGCGTTCTTCCCCATCAAAATCATCCGAAAATCATGAATTCCGATGGGGAACGAGAGCCTTCGTTGTCTGTATCGCTATCGGTAATTAAACAATAAAAAGCTGATTCGTGCTTTTGTTTATAAAATCATATTTCAAGATCGCGGCTACGGTAGGTTGTACAGAGTATTACAGCGTTCTTCCCCATCAAAATCATCCGAAAATCATGAATTCCGATGGGGAACGAGAGCCTTCGTTGTCTGTATCGCTATCGGTAATTAAACAATAAAAGCTAATTCGTACTTTTGTTTATAAAATGATATTTCAAAATGGCGGCTACGGTAGGTTGTACAGAGTATTACAGCGTTCTTCCCCATCAAAAATCATCCGAAAATCATGAATTCCGATGGGGAACGAGAGCCTTCGTTGTCTGTATCGCTATCGGTAATTAAACAATAAAAAGCTAATTCGTACTTTTGTTTATAAAATGATATTTCAAAATGGCGGCTACGGTAGGTTGTACAGAGTATTACAGCGTTCTTCCCCATCAAAAACCATCCGAAAATCATGAATTCCGATGGGGAACGAGGGTCGTCGCCGGCTGTACCGCTATCGGTAATTAAACAATAAAAGCTGATTCGTGCTTTTGTTTATAAAATCATATTTCAAGATCGCGGCTACGGTAGGTTGTACAGAGTATTACAGCGTTCTTCCCCATCAAAAACGATCCGGAAATCATGAATTCCGATGGGGAACGAGAGTCTTCGTTCGCTGTATCGCTATCGGTAATTAAACAACAAAAGCTAATTCGTGCTTTTGTTTATAAAATGATATTTC